GGCAAAAATTATTGGAACTGGGTTGGGATCTTTTGTCACACCCACCATATAGCCCTCACCTTGCGCCTTCGGATTGCCATTTGTTTCGTTCCATGCAAAACTCTTTAAATGGTAAAATTTGTAACAACGTGGATGATGTCGGATCACACCTAATTCAGTTTTTTAATAGCAAAGACCAGACATTTTACGAACGGGGAATTTTTACTCTGCCAGAACGAAGGAAAAAGGTCATCGACAAGAACGGCTAATATCTAATTGAATAAAGTTATATTTTTAAACAAAAATTCCGAATTTGCCTTCTTATTTGAAATCGGCAATGGCTTATTTGTAAAGTTATGCCAAATCCAAGATTCAGATAAGGCAGGAAGTATCGGAACATCTTTTTCTTTAAGATTATAATAACCAAGAGGGAAGTTCACGCTGTTTAAAATTACCCAGATATGCCGACCTGAGTCTGTTTTTTGTCTATTCACTGAATGAAATACGAGAGGATTTTGAAATATAGCAATTGAATAAAGCATTTTTTATGCATGAGTCCATTAAGGAACACAGAAAGACTTCACTATATGGGCATGTCCAATTACAAAAAATGTGATAGCTATTTTGGGAGAGCAACAACTTTTAGGATTGACTGTCAATCAAGCATTGTTTTCTTCAACTTCAAGCTCATGAATCTACTTCTGAACTTAGATGCTTTTAGATTTATCCTGCGGAATTATGCTTTTACTGATTATCACAATAGGCATGAAGGTGAGTAATAATTGAGGGTAATATGCTAATATTTTTGTGAGCCACATTGAGTGCTAACTTAATTTGCATAAGCTAAATTGAAGAATGCCAGTCTTTGTAATCATTAATATTGATTGCATTACAACAATTTGAAGCATAATTCAATTTATTCAATCTACCTACTTCGGTAAGATAGGGTATCAATTATTCTCCGACTACCTGAATCTATATTTCTTAGTAAACTCTTTATTCCGATATATATATATATATATATATATATATATATATATATAACGGAATATATATATATATATATATATATATATATATATATATATTTTTATCAAACGAGTTGTTTAAAAGCACTTTAAATACCAAATTTTAATTTCTTAGTCCAAACAGTGCTGAAACGTTCCTTCTCCTTTGAATTACTCTACATGCAATGGGAGTGGTACTGCTTAGTAAAACTTTAAATGGATTCCTTTTGTTAGAATTTCATTGGCTACGATTGATTACTGTTGAACTCAAGGTCACAAAAAGCAATTTGAAATATACGTAGTCTCCTTTTGCCTGAACATGAAATATCACGCAAATCGGGGTAAAACTATGCAATACATAACTGGGAGAGGTTACCAGGAACATTAATTGTGTTGGTATTTGAAAATGACCCTTTAGAAATGAGATTTTTCCGTCTAGTTATGAAAGGAGACGATTGAGTAGAATAAATGAACGAGAGAGAACAGTTGAATTCGATAATGCGTGCTTACGATAGACGTTACGTCCGCATTTAATTCGATTGTCTAGTTATTTAAAATTATGCCCAAAAACAAGTGAGAATTAAATATGAAATATGGGTTAATTGAATATCTTTTGATTTAAAAATGAAACATGTTTTTAAGAAGGAAAATAGACTTCAATTATTATTTTTAATGGCAGAAGTGATTGGTGATATTTTTAAAATTATTGATCAAAACTCCCATTTGCTTTAGATTTATGTAAAAAGAACCAATGATGGCGTTTTAAATTTAATCTCCAATCTCTCTTCCCAGAATTGGTTATTAAAATTCAAATTCTCCTAATTATTGGGGAGGAGAGGGGGAAGTGATCGCCATTTCAGGGTTATTAGATCTTAAATACCGCATGGAGGGATGGCTAGACCCTTCAAATTGTTGTTTGGAACAAATAACGCAACTAACTTTCAAAAGCCAAGCACCACAAACATAAATCCCAAATTATTTATCCCAACTTTTAATCTAATATGTTAATTAGATTTGCCATCTAAATTCTCCCATGAATGCATTTTAGACGATGTGCTGAGAGTTGCAGAAGAAGAGCGGATGCCCCAAAATGTTCATTTTCCATATACATATCTTCTCCGGTCACCATCTCCTCATCTACCTGCTGTCGGCATCCATAGCGGAAGAATTAGCCCCGGATTCCAATACCTCGCATGCCGATATCCGCGTTTTACAACCAGCGGAAGACACCACCAGACAGACACATGAAGTACAATTCCATTACCGAATCGCAGCGCGCCACAAAGGTCATTTGACGTGTGAAGTGATGCTAAGCACTGATACCAAAAAGGATTTTGATAAAACTGACAACCAAAGTCTCAGCCATGTTTATCTTCGATGTCCACTAGTAGGCCTAACCTCTCCTCTCTCCCCTCCCCCTCCGCAGTCTACCTTGATCAATCCTTTAACCAGGGCGTTTTTTTTCAGGTCCCAGCGGGAATCTGCTACGTGGATTGCACACCAGCCTGCTCCTATGATGAGGTTGAGGGTTGTGTGGTGCCGCCTTCATTATCATCAGCCATCGAAGACTGTCGGTTTGAGATTCCTCCGGAAGGCGATAAGATTGTCCTCGACTACACAATTGCTATGGACATGCTTGATAGAACAGGGGAGTGGAATTGTGAATATCTGGGAATAGCTGCGCCTAGACCTTTGAAACTCGAGGCTTCGCCAAAACTGCCCAATTTTGCGAAGATTACAACCATCGCGTCCACAACAACCGCTCCTGCTCCCACTTCCCCTACCTCTCCTTCTCCTACTCCCACTCCTTTGGTTATCATCTATCAACCTCATCATCCACCTTTTCCGATGAGACAATCCAAACAAACTTCGGGTATGTGACACAAATTCAATGTTTGCTGTAGCGCAATTCTGTTAGATAATGCTTTCCAAAATCTTATATTTTTGGAACCAGCAGATAAGCTAAAAGCACATATTGATTTAGGAATGATAATCTAGTCACAAAAAAGACCTCGAAAAGCATTTCGAGTCACGGAGACGGTAAATATACAAATTTTAGTTAATTATGTTTGAATGAGAGCACGTAGTTCTATAATTTATTTATTTATATCAAATGGCAGGCGTCTTGGTGGTTATCGTTAGCCCTTTAGTTGACTTCAGGCTACACAGAGAGGAAGGAACATCAAATTGAAAAAAATCTAGAGGGGGGAACAGAAGAGTGTTTTAAAGATGTTAAAGAGAAAGACACAAAGGTAGAAAAAAGGTGAGGTGAGTGCTGTGGAAGTATTCGAATATGAC